CCTATCACCCCGATACCCCCACACCCCCGTTCTCCCAGACCTTCCGATACAGCCAGACCTGCCCCAGCTGGAACAGGTGAACCAGGCCCTGCAGCAGCCCCATCCCCGCTGTACTCCCATCCCCTAGGCACCCCTACGCCCCAGGTACCCCCGTACCTCCAGACCTGCCCCAGCTGCAGCAGGTGGATCAGGCCCTGCAGCAGCCAGACGCAGAGGCGGCAGCAGCCGCGGGGGCCGCTGTCCTTGGTGCCGCCGCCGCTGTCCTTGGTGCTGGCGGCGAAGTCGTAGACGAACCACCTGAGGCTGAGCATCTGCACCACGAGCGAGGGCAGCAGCACGAACAGCAGCGTCAGCCCGAACCACCACCGCTGCCCCCGCACGTAGTAATGGGCCGCCAGCCACAGGTCCGAGGCGCCGTCCGCGAAGCAGACGAGGAGCGCGCAGAACACCCAGCACCCGTCCCGCAGCCGGTACCGCCGCGCCGGCGGCTCCGCGCCCGCCTCCCGCCGCCCGCCGCCGCCCTCGGGGCTCTCCAGCAGCACGGCCGGGCCGCCGCCGCCGCCGTCCGACTTCGCGGCCATGTTGTCGGGGGAAAGGAGGAGAAAGGAGGGAGCGGGAGAGACTTCCGGAGGGATGGAGCCCGCCCCGGCAGCGCCCGCCCCCGCCGGCCTCGCCCCGCGCCCGCCGACACCGGCTCCCCCCGCATCGGCTCGGCTCCGCTCGGCTCAGCTCGCCCGGCGCCGGGAGCCCCCGGCGGGTCCCGCCGCTCCCCCGCCGGAAGGGGCAGCCGCCCCCCCGCCGGCGCCGCGGGGTCCCGGAGGAGCGCTCGGTGCCGCCGGGCGCCGCCCCGCGCTGGGAAGGGCAACCGGCCCCTCCCCCGGCCGGCCCCCACCCGCCGGGGCCCCGCCGGCAAGGACCGCCCGGACCCGCCGAGCACCGCACGGTGCACCCCGCCCCGCCCCGTCCCGGCGGAACCACGTTGTCCTTGCTATCGGACCACTCCTTCCAGCCCACCGAGTGCTGGAGCTTCCCGGGAAGCTCCTGGGTAGCCCAGTAGCCCCCCAGCCCCGAGGCTCAGCCCAGGGAAGATCCTGCCCGTGTGTCCAGGCTTGGGCCGAGGTCCGGGTGGGTGGAGGTGTGGGTGCCTCTTCTCCCCTCGGGCTGAGACAGGACCACAGACCACCAAAATCCTGCCCGACGCAGCAGGGACTGGCTGGGTTGGACCTGAGCCCTGCTTTGGAGCGAGAGTCACAGAATCATCACAGAATGATTTGGGTTAGAAGGGATCTCAAAGATCAATTTGTGCCAACCCCTTGCCACAGGCAGAGGCATCTTCCACTAGACCAGGCTGCTCAGTGAAGGTGTATCCTCTTTGAAAAGACCAAAGATGGAGTTTGGTAGCAGGCTTTGTTGTTCCTGAAATTAAACTCGTGAAAGAATTACATATGTTATTCCCCAGCCTTGGGAACGTCCCTGAAAGTGAAGTACCAAGGCCGCTGCAGTCTGGGTGCCCCAGAGTCCTGATGCTGCCCCGCTGTACCCGCGGGACATGTGCTCACATGAGGACCAGCCCTGTGCCGGCATCCCTGGCGCTGCTGGGAGGGAAAGGGCTGCGAGGGAAAGGGCTTTCTCTCCTTTGTGATGGTTCTCTCCAGGGAGGGTGACTGCATACAGGCAGCTGCCTCCTGGAGGCAGCCCCAGCCCGCGGAGCTGCTCTGGCTCTGCGGCTCGGCCCCCGAGGCTCAGCCAGGTGCATCTGCCTGCGGAGGAGCCTGGCTGAAGCCCGCCCGTGGTCAGCACACAGAGAGGGGGAGCATGTTTGATCCCGAGGAACACGGCTAACTTCCAAATTCTGCCTTGCAGGGTGGCCAAGGGATCATCACAAACCGGGGGTGGGGCAAACCTGGATTCCTGGGACTCAGTCCAGGGGTTGAAGATGTTACTCAGCACAAGGGAGTGGCCGGGCCCTCGGCAAGGCTCTCCTCGTGCTGCATGTATTAGCATTTATAATAAGAAACCTCACCTTGAGATGCTCCTGACACATCCCCTCCACAAATTCCTGCCTGGGGGAGGGGATGCTCCCTGTATCCCAAAGCCTGAAGAAAGCAGACTTTCATCAACAACTAGGCAGGGCAGAGCCCCTTCCAATAATGGGGTCCACTGACCAGAGCCCTTGTCAACACCTGGCCACTCCACACCTCTTTGGGCTTGGTCTCTGGGGACTCTCTGTCTTGGCTGGGTGATGGAGCAGGGACTGTGTTACCATGACGGTGGGCACAGCGCCAGGGAGAGGGAACTTGGAAATCAGGGAGAGACAGACCCACCTTTCTCCCCTGACCCTGAAACACCCCCTCTGAAGCAGCAGTTAAAGATCCACAGCCTGAGAACATGGAGACCGTGGTTTGAAGTCTGATTTATCTTAACAACAGGCCCCAGCAGCCACATGAAAGGAGAAGAGAGAAAAAAACCTTATAAACATCCCCGAAGCTTCCTGTGCAGCTGCCAGCAGGCAGGGAGGGTTTCTGGCTGCATACAGAAAAGGGCTGCAAGGAAGAAAAAGGAACATGATGAAACCAAACCTGCTCTTTCCACAAAACACACAGCAAAGCAAAGCAGCTCCTGGCAGCGGGCGGGTGGCCGCTCCCTCCGACTGCCCAGTTCCCAGGGGAACTGGTCCAAATGGACCTCTGGTTCCAGTCTGAGTCCAGCTTCTAAACAGAATGTCTGCCCCTGGCTGGCTCCAGGACGAGAAATCCATGATGATTTGTGGCTCAGAGCTTGGCTGGGAAGAGGCCGCAGAGTGCAGCACCAGCCACTTCTCACTGCGCTGAGAATGTTTTCCAGATGCCCATGGCATTGTGCAGCTCTCCCCATGTCTGTGCTGAGCTGGGCCCCACCTTCCCAGGGAGAGCAGCCCCCGCCCTTCCATGCAGCCCAACATTCCTGGCAAAACCCTGCCTTCATTGCACTGTCATTGGCAACCCTAGAGTCACTGCTGCCAGGACACAATCAGCCTGCTCTCATCCCCATTCCCATGCCACATCTCATCCCTTCCCCATCCCCATCCCCATCCCCATCCCCATCCC